CAGGAATGGATGTGGAGTTGACAGTTGAAGAAAGGAACCTCCTATCGGTTGCATATAAAAATGTGATTGGAGCTAGAAGAGCTTCCTGGAGAATAATCAGCAGCATTGAACAGAAAGAAGAAAACAAGGGGGGAGAAGACAAACTAAAAATGATTCGGGAGTATCGGCAAATGGTGAGATTGTCATATCCTAGGAATCTTTAAAGAAAGGTGCCTTAGATGTTGGATATTTTTGATCACCACCTAGTACACACATGTTGTATACTTATGTAATACACAGTTTATATTTTAATGGACTTCTAGGAATTTTTTCCTGGAAGCTGCAGAGAGTGGTGTACAATTTTGAACACTGCAACATAGAGAACTAATTTAATCTTTATACTTTGTAGAGTGACTTGAAATTACCACTTAGGGCAACTTAACAAATATTCATGTGCCTCTAACCACACAATTTGTTAATGCTGTAGGTACAAAGATGAGGCAGATAGTTATTATCCTTAGGAACCTCAGTTGAGTCATTGTATTTTTTTTAATAGAATACAGAATATCAGAGGGTATTGGGCATTATTTCATCAGGGTATTGTTTCAGGTAATATATATATATGTATATATATATTTATGTAGTATTTTTCATACTCTGGAATTTGGTCAGAAAGATTGCTAGCCATTGATGTAGTGATTTTAACCAGAGAGTGATTTTGCTCCTCAGTATATTTGGTGAGGTCTAGAGACATTTTGGTTGTAATCTAGTGGGTAGAGATGGGGATGCTGCTAAACATCCTGCTTTGGATAGTATAGCCCCCCACAACAAATAATTATCTAGCCCAAAATATCAATTTTGCTGCTGTTGAGAAACCGATCCTTGTGGAAGAGAGAGGCATATAACCACGCTTAGTACAGTGAGGGAAGTTACAGAAGCAGGCATGAAGTAGCATGGAGAGTGAGTTTGTTAAGTAGAGGAAAAGGAAGACCACATTTATTGACTATCTCTATCTCTGCTGGCTACTGTTCTGAGTGGGGAGATTTGATAATATACATAATAGTGCAAGATATTGTATTTACTTAATCTTTAAATGACCCTCTGTAAAGGGTAGGTATTATTCCAGATTATAATTGGGAAAACTGAGGTTCCAAGGAGTTAACACACCCGGGGTTGCATAGAGGTGGTGAGCTGGTATCGGTGTGACCATTACCCTCAAATATGTTGGAACAGAGAATATGAATTATCAGTAGACAAGTTTGGTGTTTTCAGAGTGATGAGGAAATGAGAAAGTTGAAAGTGCTGAAGAAAGCGAAGTCTCGTGTGCTAGTGTGGGATTTGGGCTAAGTAGGAAAGACGGAAGTAAAGAGAGGGACTGATAAATTGGGAGGAGATGAAAGATTCAAGAGGCTGGAGGTCGTGATGTGTCCTTAAGTAGGAATAACAGGAGTATTGTCCAAAAAGGAAGTTATTGTCCAGTAGTGAACTTAGAATTTAAGACTTCTAGGATAGAGCAGTCACAGTTAGGGGTAGTGACAAGTGAAGGTTGTGGAGTTGAGATTAAGGAACTGTGTTGAAAAGAACATGGGTGGTAATACCTTGGTGTGATACCAAGAATTGGGAGGTAGGCTGTAGATACTCAGTGAATGTGGATGAAGGGCCTACAGATTCTGTTAATGACAGAAATCGAGAAATTAGAACATAAAGGATGAGCTTCTAAGGAGGAGGGGTTTGGAATAATAGAACAGTCATACCAAGTCAGTGAGGATCTAACAGAATTCAGAAATCTTCCTTCTCCTAGAGCAATGTCTATTAAAAAAGCTACAAGGAGAGGTAGTTTATTTAGAAAAGAGCTAGTTTTAATTAAGATCAGTATGAAATTTTAGGAAAGGAGAGAGAGAGAGAGTAGAATTATTTTCAAAGGAAAGGATGTTACAGAGGACTTGAGAAGAACTTGGAAAGGTTCAGCAATGTCACTGTGAATTAATAGAAAATGGAGAGCAGGATACATATGCGTATTTAAGAGTGGTGTAGTTTTTTGGCATGATAAATGAATTAAGATGAGAGGCAACATTTATTTTGGTATACAGAGTTTTGGTGCCCTTACTGGCTATGGATCTCTACCACTAAAGTGAGTAGAGAACACAGTAGAGGTTAAGAATGTGAGCACTAAAGGGAAACAAAAATTGCCTTGGTTTGAATTTTTGTTTCATCCATTGTAAACCATGATGGTAGGCATGCAACCTCTCTTGGTTCAAATCCTAGCTCTGCCTTTTAAAGTTGATGAACTTTGGGCAAATATTATATTTGTTTTCTCATGTAAATGGAGACAATAGTTCCTACCTCATTTAAGGAAGTTTATATAAATGTGCAGCACTTTCAGTAAATAGTAATCAGTGTCACTCTTTTGAACCTGAAATGAGTTCATTAAAAAAAAAAAAAAAGTGTTTAACTTAATAGCATGAGAAAGATAATTTCTGTAACCTGTAGAGAACTTTTCTGTTTTTTTTTTTTTTTTTGTACTGAGAAGGGGAAGAGGGTTCAGAGAAGGATATATATTTTGTTTAGTATGGCTCTCTTCTTCAAAACCAGAGGTAGAATATGTGATAATTTATATAATTTCTTAGACTTAAACAATTTTTTGACCTTTTTTTTTCAGGTTGAGACTGAACTAAAGTTAATCTGTTGTGACATTCTGGATGTACTGGACAAACACCTCATTCCAGCAGCTAACACTGGCGAGTCCAAGGTTTTCTATTATAAAATGTAGGTTCTATACTAGAAAGGAAAATGTCAGATTAATCATGTTGGTGCACTTAGAATCATCACTTTTTCTGTGTAGGTTTTCAAGTTTTCTTTAAGAATAGTTGTTTAATATTGTTTCCAACATAGTTATATGGGAGGAGTGATTCTCAAAACTTAAAATAATTTTTGAATAGTCATTTGCACATTCACACCTAATGAAGTATTATTGCATTTAAGATGGTTAGACTTTACTGTAAAAATGTACCAGGTTTTGCTTTACCTATTTACACTCATTTGCCTTTGTAGATCCCCGCCCCCAGCTACAGCAGGGCATTACATAGTTCAATCTTAACATTTTATATAGAAGTTTTTATTTTGTGATTAACAAATTAGTACGACATTCTTTGGAACCACTTTTGATATATAATTCTAGTCTAGGAAGTGATAAATTTGTTAATTTTTTAAAAAAGCTTTTCAGTTAATTTTTCTAGGATTTTGCTTATATTTGGCAATATGAAATCTCTAAAGAGGAAAACTAAATGGATGAATCAGTCATTCCTGAGAGTTTTAAAAATTATTGGAGTATACCTGTTAATTAGTAAATCTGTTTTTTCACATAAAAAAATTTTAAGTCTGTTTTTTATTTTAAAAGCATTATTCCTAATTATGGGTTTTTTGTTTTCTTTGTTTTTAGGAAAGGGGACTACCACAGGTATCTGGCTGAATTTGCCACAGGAAATGACAGGAAGGAGGCTGCGGAGAACAGCCTAGTGGCTTACAAAGCCGCTAGTGATATTGCAATGACAGAACTTCCACCAACGCATCCCATTCGCTTAGGTCTTGCTCTGAATTTTTCCGTATTCTACTATGAAATTCTTAATTCCCCTGACCGTGCCTGCAGGTAAATCATGGAATAGAACAAAAGCTCTTACCGTGAGAGTGAAAAAGACCTCTTTCAGTTCACTAGGAGGGCAGTTAGGATAATTATGTTGATGGGAAAAAATTCTGTCGGTAGATTAAAAAGAATCTCTTGTTAGTAGGAGAAAGGAATGAGAGGAATTATAATAAAATTATCTTTATTTTTGTATATTAGCTTTCAGTCTTTGTAGGTATATTTTTAATATAGTCATGTTTATGCTCATTATACACACCATTTTGTATTTTATAATTTAATATAGCTTGCTTTCTCATTGATGTATGTTAAACTATTCCAATTTTTGATATAGATACCAACTTAAGGGATATCTTTATATACATAGTTTTTTACTTTTTAAATATTAAGGTGAAATATATGTTAAATGAAGTTTATCATTCTAATTTTTTAAAAGTGTATAGTCAGTGGCACCACTATCAATTTCCAAAAGGTTTTTATCACCTGAAACAACCTATAACCATGAAGCAATAACTCCACATATCCGCCCCCCGCCCCCCCCGCCTCTGGTAATCTCTGTTTTCTGTCTATGAATTTGCCTATTTTAGTACCTCATAATTGGAGTAACATACAGTTGACCCTTGAACAACAAGGGGGTTGGGGGCACTGACCCCTGTAGTCAGAAATCTACATATAACTTTGGACTCCTCAAAAACTTAACTAATAGCCTGCTTTTTACTGGAGGCCTTGTCGATAACAAAAACAATTAACATATATTTTATATGTTACATGTATTGTATACTGTATTCTTACAATAAAGTAAGCTAGGGAAAAATTATTAAAATCATAAGGAAGAGAAAATAAATATATTTTATGTATTCATGATATACCTAACTTTTTCTTTAATATTTTTGATATTTCTAGTTCATCTGTGAGTTTTTCCAAATTGTTGCAAATCTCCAAAATTTTTTCCAGTGTATTTATTGAATAAAAATTGTGTATCATTGGACCCACACAATTTAAATCCATGTTATTCAAGGGCCATCTGTATTTTTCCTTTCTAACTTCAGTAGTTTTGAGTATGTAAGAACCAGATATTCCATGAAAGGAGAGATTTTACTGATGTAGGGTGGATGCATTTGAATGCAAACTAATATTAATTTATCTAAAAACATTCTAAATGGCTAGTTGAGTTTGTCCGAACAGGTATGTCTTAACTGAAGATTTTATAGGTGTATGTTCAGCTTATAGTATTGGTGGAATCTTTCATTGTCATTCTCCAGTCTAGCTGTCCCTTACATGGCTTCAAATCAAGTCACCTCCATGCCTTTGCTTTAATCTGAAGTGTCTCATTTATGTTCTTTTCCTACCCATTATGATAAGTTCAAATTTGACTTCCTCATTTGCTCCTCTGCTTGGGTCCCTGAATAACTTTCTCCAGAATAGCACTTCATTCTTTTAGAATAGTTTATGTGTCAGTCCTCTATTGTTTTAAGTTCATTGTGGACTCAAATTATGTCTCTCCCCTCTTTTTTGTTTTCCCCATCAGTGTCCAATATCACTTGGTGTGTACATAGTATACAGTACTCAGTAAATGTGAATTTTGTTTCTTTAAAATCATAAGTGACTTATATGATCATATTTCCATTGGTTCTGTATTGTCCCCCCTTTTGCTTCCATTAATATTAACTTCTGTTGAATTAAACTGAGATATTGTCTAAAAATTTCTCTTTGTATTAAAACTATTAAATAAGCTATTGACTAGAACTTGGAAATGCCTTTATTCATATATTTTAGTGGTGCTTTAGTTTGGAATTTGGTCTATATACTACTCTATTTACTGATAGGCTTGTCAAAAGCATAGTAAGAAGTGATGCTCCAGAAGTTTACTAGCTCCAAAGTTGCTAGATTACAAAATTAAATAAAAAGTTAGTTTTCAATAGTTAAATGTGCTTTTCTTTATTTCAACACCTAAACCCAAATACTCAGTGTCACTATTATATACTGTGGGAAAACAAGAAAAGAGTGATATTTAACTTATGTCATTTCTTATTTTGTTTTTGGACTTTAGCTTATTTTTATAATACATTTATGTAAATACTTTTAGGTTGGCAAAAGCAGCTTTTGATGATGCAATTGCAGAACTGGATACGCTGAGTGAAGAAAGCTATAAGGACTCTACACTTATCATGCAGTTGTTACGTGATAATCTGACACTATGGACTTCAGACATGCAGGGTGATGGTAAGGAAACTTAAGTTAAATGTGTCTTTCAGTTGTTGAATGTTTTTACTCTTAGAAATTCCTTCGTATTTCTTTACTTCAAGTTGTACTATAGACTCCTAGGTTATCCTCCAAACTCTCAAATTTTAATTAGTGCTTTTTCAAGAAATGCTGACAGTGTATAGTCTTCCATTTTGGGCTATGAGATGATAAAGTAAAAGACATGTTTGGAAAGGATCTTTTGTTAATATCTGAAGATTTAAAAGTTTGTCCTCTAATAAAGTTTGCTAAACTTTACCTCTTTTCACACTGTTTTGAAAGATGGAGGGAGGGGAAGCAGTTCATTTAATCGTCCTCAGATTAAATTTTAGGGGTCAAGGTTAATTATATTTGAATGTCATGATCACTGCTCTGGCTAAGTGGTATATCCTCAGGTTAAAACTAGACGGTATCAGTAGACATTTATGAAGCATCTCCTGGAAATATTTTACCTAAAAAGGGAATTAGTTTTCTCTGGATTCTGTAGAGCAAATGGAATGTTCAGCCCTTAGGTCCTATTTAAGAGGTCTGGTATAGTCTATTTTTTAGAGTTTTTGGTAGTAAAGTTATTAGAACTTAACCTATGAAGGAATGGAAGGCTTAATGTTTGTTTTAAATATAAAATCCCAAATTTGTCACTTTTTTTTTTTTTATTTTAAAGGAGATTTTATTCTGTCCATTTCCAAAGAATCATTCATTTTCATATATGATAGATTGTTGAGCAGGGGGAGGACAAACTAGTGTGACATGACCATTATGATTATGAGATAGTTTTACAGTTGGTGGTGGTGGTATAGGAAGTGGAATCAAAAAGTTTCAATTTTAGCTTCAGATCCTTTAAGGGTGTGTTCCCCAAATTGAAGCATGTAATGCATTGCTTGAGGCTGGCTATAGTCTGATGGTCAAATCAACAACTGTACTGTTTTTGGGAGCATTATACTTTTTTAAAAGTGCTCTGAAAAGGATATTAAGGCATGTGTATTATCAGTCTCCTTGCTCTGGAAGGATAGAGTCAATTGTTAGACTTATCTTGGGTTATGGTGCTAAAGTAAGAATTGGATAGGCCTATGGCCATGCCACCCTGAACACGCCCGATCTCGTCTGATCTCGGAAGCTAAGCAGGGTCGGGCCTGGTTAGTACTTGGATGGGAGACCACCTAGGAAGACCAGGCGCTGTAGGCTTAAAAAAAATAAAGTAAGAATTGAGTGACTCAGCTTCTAGAACTCACTAGCCCTATGAAGTTTTTAGATATTTGACTAAGATTGGCTTGAGATACATAGCACATGTGATCTACTTGCACACTTTTTCAACAAAGCCAGATGGAGCTATAGATTACTTTTTGACACAACACTTGAGGCAACCCCTACCAGTCTGTGGTACTCAAAGCCAATTTACCATCTGTGAACCAAAGATTTAGGTTCCTTCCAGCTGTAAAATTCTATTCTAACAATAACTGCTAAGAATTGTCCAAATAGCTGTGGACTCTTCATAGTCGTCCCTCATCTCAGAGAATACTAATATATCTCTGCTGATTTGAGGGGATGAAAAGAAAGCATGGAAGAGTTCGGTACGTGGTATTGCCCTAATAAGTAACTATACCTCTCTGACCTCTGGGAACATTTTTTGAGGATAAAAATAACAGAGAAGGTGACCTGGGTTGAAATGCTGGTTTTTTTTGTTTGTTTGTTTGTTTTGTTTTGTTTTTAGATGTTTGATGCCAGCTCTTATAACCAAGTTGTTAGATTACAGAATGAAATAGAAAGTTTATATTTTCTAGTGCTGCTCTTGTTTATTATCACTGTTAACCAAGAATTGATTAATTCAAGTAGACTGTCACTCCATTTTTATATAGAAAGATACTCTTTTCCTTAGTTATCAGTGTCATTTTATAAAATGGATCATTTTAAAGTAAAATATTTTCTTTAAAACTACATAGTTTTTCGTAGTTGGGAAAGTTCTTCGCACCAAGATGTTTTATTACATTTTAGCATAGAATTCTCTTTAATCTTAAAAGTGTTTTTTGTTTGTTTGTTTTTTTATTTTTTATTTTTTTTTGGTGAAATGCAGTTGCTTTAATTCTTCACTTTGTAAATTGGTTAAGTTTGGTTGAAACAGACTAATTTTCATATAAGAGCTTGGTCAAAATATTTGGAAATATGAAACGTGATAGTTTAATACTGGAAAAATCCATGCAGTCTCTTGACATTTTAGTAAAATTAACAAATTATCTGAATTTACAAATTGTTGTAGGTACTAGGAAATTAAATTATTTGCCAGTTTTGCTAAAAGGTATAGTGTAGTACATGTTTCATTAAATTGGCTTTGTGACTTAGAATTAATGTCGAATATAGAAGAATTTTGGTCATGGAATTAGTAGTTTTCCAGGATGTTAAAGTTTAAGGATTATTCAGATGGTTTTCTCCTTTTTTGCTTTATTGATTAGGAAAAATGGTGTCATAAAGCATTTGAATTGAGGATTTCTAAAGGAAGAAGTAATATGTGGTTCACAAGCTTTTACTTATACACATTTATGTTTTTTAACTGCAGAATGTTAATGTCTTGAGTGTGTTGGAACATAATTCTTTAAAGGGATCACTACTTTTCTCTTGTCAAGTGATTTCAGTCCTTTTAACTTGTGATCAGAGGACTGTTTCATACACAAGTCTACAGAGAGGAAATGTTTGTCCTCTGCCCATTCCTCCTCTTCCAAAATCTAGAGATAGTGGGCAAAGAAATACATGTCCAAGGAAACTTTTTTTTCCTTCTGTATACCTTTTAAGAGGATATAATTTCATCCTCTTAAAGGTAAAAGGAATAGATTATTTCTTAGAAGTTTATATGAATTAAAAAGACCAAAATCTGACTCCCCTAAATTGTTGATGTTTTCCTTTGTCTTGCTCTTTTGGTTTATTTTTCCTGTGATGTTGCTTTCATGTGATTGTTCTCCCTCCCTTTCTCCTTGCAATATAGATTCCTAAAGGAAAATCCAACTCTTCCTTTCCTAAAAACTACTTTGTAAGTCATTATCATGGCACAGTGAATTCTGCTTCTAATTTTGGTTCTTCACTAATCATGCCTGCATATCATCCTGTTGCTTAAAAAAACCCTGCTTGTTCTGCATTTCAGGATGCAAAATCTTCTAAGACACTTATGATCTGCTACCCCCTGTCTACCTCTGGTTGAGTGTGATTTATTTATCTGACAATATTTTAATGCCCAAGTTAACTAGGAACTTTTGGCAAATCCAGTGTTTACTTATGAGTGAATTAAAGTGTGCTCTGTTGTTGTATGTTAACCGTACAGTGTATTGCTGTTAAAAATGAAAGTGAATGTCCCTGTAATCTCCTAAGTTTGAATACATTATTGTTCTTTGGAGAATGAACAGTTGGGTGGTCCATTGTTTTTTTCCTCAGTAAATGCTTATTTTTGTCTTTCTTTGCATGTCTTTTTCTGTATATGAGTCAGAAATCTTTATGTACCTCAAGTACTTTCACATAGTAATATCAAACATTTTTATCACAAAGCAAAATTTCAAGTGAGGAAAACTAATCTTAACCTTTGTTGCCACGACAGCATTTATCATTTATTTTATCAAGGTCTTTAAGACTGCTTAAAGCATTCCTCAAATAAATGCTTTATGTCTGTAGGCAGTTACCAGTGTCATCTCTCCATCCTAATTAATTTAATAAGCAATATGAATGGATGGATTGTCTGAACTATAATAATATTGTTGGATTGGTTCATTGATTTTTCAATTATTTTTGATTTAGACTAGTAATACGTAGGGATTATAAGTGGTTTGTTAAAACACCAAAAAAAAAAAAGTAATTTAGCTATTTAATTTTTAGCAAAAGCCTGCATGCTTACTATGGCTGACTTATTTAATGCTTATTAATAGGTAGATGAATAGGCTGGCTTTTTATTGCATGTCATAGTGCAGTTGAAATTCCTCAGACTAATGATCATGTTCAAAGGGAAAAGAAAAATGGCATGAAAGAACTGGTCCAAATGCCTTTCTTTAATAACCTCAATGTTCTGGTTTACTTTGAGCATGCTGTTTCACTGTGGAGTGATAAATCTGGTTATGGTTTGGTGTGACTGGCCAAGAAACAAAATATAAAATATTCACAAAAGCATAACCCTCTCCTTTCAAAACTATAGAAGTCCTTTGGAGCATTTTACTGTTCATTTCTCATTATTGAAGTATTCTGATATGAAGCTTGTGGTGGGTAAATTAAATTTTGCAAAAAATTGTAAAATACTCTTGATTTTTGAAGAGGTGAGGTTATTGAGAAAGAGTATTTTGACACAAGATACACATGAAAGCTTGAAAGTCACTTTAATAGTATGGTCACCTTAGCTGTCTACTTTTAAGAGCTTATTTAGCATAAAAATATTGACTTTTACTATGCGTCAATTTTTTGTCCTATTGACCATTTAGGACCTTGATCCAGCAATACCTCTCAACTTAGGCATCTTAGGTGTCAAGGATGGTAGAAGTCCTTGCTTGTCTGGGTTTAATACCAATTGTAGCAAATATAAGGAGTCTTTACGCTTGGAATGATACCTTTGTTTACAGCCTGCTTTAGGCACTATGAAATAATTGTCATTCTTCTTTGCAGGTGAAGAGCAGAATAAAGAAGCGCTGCAGGATGTGGAAGATGAAAATCAGTGAGACATAAAAGCCAACAAGAGAAACCATCTCTGACCACCCCAGTCCTTCCCATCCCATCTCCCCTTGGAAATTTCCCCATTGTCGCTGAGAACCACCAAATCTGACTTTTACATTTGGTCTCAGAATTTAGGTTCCTGCCCTGTTGGTTTTTTTTTTTTTTTTTTTTTTAAACATAAACAGTTTTCAAAAGTTCTTAAAGGCAAGAGTGAATTTCTGTGGATTTTACTGGTCCCAGCTTTTAGGTTCTTTAAGACACTAACAGGACTGCATAGAGGCTTTTTCAGCATTACTGTATTGTCTCTTGCCAGATGTGGCAAGGTCACCGTTAGAAATGGAAATTATATTTGAAAGCCATTAGAATTCTGGGTGATGTAAGCATCTAAGAGAGAGGCTAATCACACTGTGGAGACATATATGGTATCATTTTTCCTTTTTCTAATTGTTTAAATCGAATTTTATACCAATGTTTAAAATTAATTGGGTGTTAGTTGAGGTGGTTAAAGGTTGTTAGGGGAGTTTATTGTAATGGTTTTGCTGTAAAAAGTGTTTCAAACTCTGCTAAAATGTTGCTGAAAAGCATGGTGCTGGTAACAGTTCAACAATCCGTGGCTGCTCATTCTTGCCTACTTTTATTCTCCCTCTGAAAGCAGGTTAGCATTGAAGGTGATATGGAAAAGCCTGCATGCGTGTTCAATTCTTTGTTTCTTCTCCTTCCCTCTCCCAGGCCCCTACCTCCCCTCCTTCGCTCGCTCAACCTCTTTTGTTCAGTATGTGTAACTTGAAGCTAATTTGTACTACTGGATATCTGACTGGAGCCACAGATACAGAATCTGTATTGTTCTTACTGAAACACAGCATGGAATTAACATTAAACTTAAATAAAACAAACCTAAATTAAAAATGCCAAATATCATTGCGCCTCCATCCTTTATCTTTCTAAAATAAAATCTCTAGTCTCAACACTTTGACGGTATTATTTGCCTGACTCTGAAAAGATCTTTTTTTCTTTCATAAGTCACTTGTCTGTTTCCCAAAGATGATGTATATTTTTGGAAAAAAAAATGACTTGTAACTTGGTCGTGAAGAACACAAGTAGTCTAGGTCAATTCATTGCCTATCCTATCTTCTAAATCGGGTAGCAACATGGTATTTATTTTAATTATTAAAGTACAAATGTATATTTAATACATGGTGTAATTATGGATCATTTTCTAGCATGGAGTTTTGGATTGTATAACCAAATATGGCTGAATATGTCAGAATAATCTTTCCTAGGCTGAGATAAAGTTACCCTACCCCTTCCACCCCACTACTCCCACCAAGAAGAAAATAATTCTCAGTTCTACGTGTACATGTGATTAAATAGTAGGATAGCAGTCCCCCTTACTAGAAAAACTGTAAGTGGTTTTTCTTCCAGAGATCGTCAGTGTGAATAGATAGTTCAGTTAATATAGATTATTCTCTATCAGGAATTTAGATCTGCCTCATTTGAATGACTGTCTAATATTGATGTACTGATGTAAAAAAAAGTTGAACGCTTTTTGATGTTCACATCGTTTCCAGTCTTCCTATTATGAATGGTGCTGCAGTAATTATCCTTGTAACGATCTCTACTTAAATATTTGCTTGTGTATCTGTATGATGCATTTCTAGATTTCTTTTTTTGTTAGAAAACATACTTTTCAATTGGTAAGTACTGTGCATTTGCCTCCAAAGGGGTTCTACTTTATAGCTCCATCAACGATATGAAAATACCAGCTTTATCACAACACTTGACTCATTGCCAAGTGAGATGTTGACACCAAAAGTATACCATGGACTTAAGTTCTTAGTAGTAAAGTCTTAGGAAACGAACAGATTAGTGATTTTTTTTATCTTAATAAACTAAATGTATGCCCGAAATTAGAATAATTGTGTTTTTTGTGAATTGTTTTTCCATCACATGGAGATGATTTTATGTAAATTCAACTTTTGAGTCACCTCTTAAGAGATTTTCAGGTTTATCTTTTTCAGCAGTAAAGTGGCAAAATGCCTTCTGCATGTCGGTCCCAAACTAATGGAATTCAGAGTTTTGCATCAAACTGAACACTAATGCATAAATATTTGGACTTGAGACAAAACAGTCAGTGATGTTTTTACTAAACAGTCTAGGTTGTGGAGGTGACTTTCGTGTTAGGTTGTTACACGAATTTGTTTAATGAAAGTTGGGTGTGTAGACTTTATGTATTCAGTAAACAGGATGCTATGAACATTTTCAAAGATGTGGCAGTTTTGGTATGGAGAGAAAACCTGCCACCCAAAGAAGCCAATGAAGGCACTTAGGAAGGTGAGTGATGATTTGGTATAGGTCTTTAGGAAGATCCCTGTCAAAGATTGGGAAATGGAAGTTTGCAGAAAGGCGACAACCCTGTAAGGATAGTGTCACTCCCGTTTCTTATAACTAGTCTGGACAAGGAGATTTTCAGCTTTCGGTTCAGACATCTTTGAGGATCAATTGATGTTTAAAAAAACTTTAATTTTTTGAATAGAGTTGACATTCAATTTTAGTTTCATGTGTACAGCATAGTGGTTAGACATAATACAGGATCAACATTTCAATAGAAACTAGTTACCATTACAACTTGAATGCAATTTGTTTTAAATTCTTAGTGCTTTTCTTTGAAAAATTTTAAACCCAGATGTTTTCTAAAATTATCAATGGTAAATGGGTTTATACCCATGCTTGTGTTCTAGAATGGGTGGTCAGAAAAGCAAATCTGCAGTGTCATATTTTGCTCATCGAGAAAGAGAATGGATTTCAGATCATTCGAAGGGGAAGTTGATGGACTATAAACATCTAATGGCTCCTGCCCCAGGCAAATGCCACTTGAGAGTTTATAAGATCCCAAGTGAGGTGCAATGCTATTGATCCTAGGACAGTAGAAGGGGGAGAACCATGTGAACACATTGGCATAAAGATGAATTTTGCTTTGCTTTGAAAATTGTTAGGAGTAATAGTTCATAGGGATTCCTGGTAAAATTCTAAAATGAATAATTAAAGGAATTGTGATCTTTTAGAGGAAGTGATGGTGCAAGATTCAACCTGAATCAGCAAAATCAATCTTGCTCTATGTGTCATTTTTTTGTTACTAGGCTTGTAATTGATATTGACAATAATATTTAGCTAACGTTACGTAGTAGATGTACCAGGCACTGCTCATTATTAAGCAGTATCTGCAAGGTAGCACATAGGTACTCAGTAATAATTGGGTGAGCTGTCACCCACATTTTGCAAATAAGAAAACTGGCATAGGAAGTTGAACTTGTTCAGAGCCACAAAGCTGAAAGTATGCAAGCAATTCAGTTAGGTTTATATTAATAAAGAGCCCATGCTCTTAACCATTAAGCCGTTCTACCTTTTTGTTCTTTATCAAAAATTTGAGATACTCTTCCAAAGTGATCGTTTAAGGTATACATACTTTATTATTTCTAAGATAAGCATGTTTTACAAGTGATATCTTCAAAAGCTGTAATATTAATATGTATTAATATAAATGATATATTAGGCTCTTAGGTGGCTACTGTCTAAAAAGGAAAAGTCAAAGGCTTACGACCTAGATTAATTTTTTGGCAATTTGTTAATCTATAGGTTAATTAGAAATTTAAGAATTAGTATTTTTTACAGGTAGAGCAACACTTTCAATTTAAAATAGGTTAACTTGGACAAGTAGAGCCATAATTCCCATATAATCTGAATTGTCGAGTTGCCTCAGTGCTGTGACTTGAGTGTTCTAGAAAACCAAAGTCTTAATACTGTAAGGTCAAACTCATTTTTAGCCACTTTTGGTAAGAATATTTCTAAAATATATTACTTTTCTGCTTTTTAAGAAACGGGCTCTTTTCTCGGTTACTGCTTTGGGGAAGATTGTGGGTTGTCAATCTTGCACCATCAGCTTACTGTGTGGGGCTGTAGGTACAGGCCTGCTATGTATAAGGAGGGCTGAAAATTCTATCAAAGTTCCTTTCTTTTTGGACATGTATCTCACATAATTGAAGTTAAGAATGTACTTGTACAACTCAGGCAGTGCAAATCATGGCCAGGGGTTTTCTTCCCTTGTCTAATGCTATCATTGGCCATTTTTCCAGTTGTGCTGAAACTACTGGCACTTACTTGACACTCACGCTTCCATCCCATATTGCTTGTTTTGGCCACCTAAAATTCTGGTGCTACAGCGTTGGATAGGGATTATTTTAGCACCTAAGGCTTCTTTCTCATTGATTGATGGCACATTTGTAGCCATCATAACAGGCCATAATACCTGCTCAACAGCCTCAGAATTTGCCTTCGACAGAATTCTAGGAACGAACAACCTTTAAAAACATTTTTCCCTCCCTCGACTTCATTTGTCATTAAGGAGATATAAGCCAAAACGAGAGATGCTAATCTCACATTGGCAAAGTTTAGATTTATATTCTGTAGCGAGGATGTAGAAAAACATATAGGTATTATTTAAAGTAATTTTTAATTCAAGTATAAAAAACACATCAAAAGTGTACAGTTCACTAATTTTCACAAAGGGAGCACACTGTTTAGCCACCACTCACATGAAGAAATACAACAGGATCGGCATCCTAGAAGACTCCCTCATGCCCCTTCTCAGTCATTATCCCTGCAATTGAAACCAATATCTTGATAGTCATCAATTAGTTTTGCCTGTTTTTGAACTTGATATAAATGGAATCGTAACTTTTCCCCCCCTCAACATTGTGGAGTTATCCATGTCACTGCCTGTAATAATAGTGTGTTTCTGTGGCTCTGTAGTATTCTGTTGTGTTAATATACTACTATACTGTAGATAGATACTGGGTTATTTCCAATTTTTGCAAGTAATGTTATGGACATTCTTGTGTATACATATCTTTTGGCATATACATGTATGCATTAATGTTGCATATATACGTAAGAATGGAATTACTGGGTCACAGGGAATACATATGTTCAGCTTTAGTGGATATTGCAAAAAGTTTTCCGCAGTGGTGTTTCTGTTTTTCAGTCCTATCAGCAGTATATGCGAATCCTGTATCCTCAGTGTATGAGTTGCTCCATATCCTTACTGGCATTTGGTATGGTCGTTATTTTTAGCTATAGCCTTCTGCTGGTGTATATAGTAGCATCTCATTCTGGATTTAATTTGTATTTTTCTGATGATTAATGAGAACACTTTTTAATAGGTTTATTGGTTATTTGGACATTCTTTTTGATTAATACCCACTTTTGCCTGTTTTTCTGTTGGGTTATTGTTGATTTGTAGGAAGTCTTTATATTAAGAATGGAGTTTGTCTTTGGGGTTATTACAATTATCTTCTCCCATTCTGTGCCTGGCTTTGTCATTATCTTGATGTCTTTTGATGAGCAGAAGTTTTTAATTTAGTCTGGTTTATCCATATTTTCCTTTAAGGTAAATGCTTCATATGTCCTATTTAAGAAATACTTGCCTACCCCAAGATCATTAATCTTTTGTTATTTTTCTAAAAGCATTGTTTGACCTATTATATCTAGGCGTAGATCATCTAGAATTTTTGTTCATGGTAATAGGGAGATGTTAAAAATAATATTTTTCTATATAGATATTCAATTGACCCAGCACCGTTTATTTTTCCATTGGTTTATTTGTCCTAATGCTAATGCAACATTGTGGGTTTAAAATAATTTAGTATCTGGTAGTGCAAGTCCTTCAGTTTTTTGTTGTTGTTCAAGATTGTATTAGTTATTCTTGGCACTTTGCATTTATATGTATATATTAGAATCAGCTTGTCAATTTCAGTGATAGACCAGCAACAAAACCTGCTGGAATTTTGATTAGGATTTTATTGAATTATAAATAAATTTGGGAAGAATTAGCATCTTTATACAATTATGTGCTTTAGTTCATA